AACAGATTACAAAACAGAAATGCAAATAATATGAAAGTGGTTGCTTTATTTTCTCTCATTGAATCGGAAGCATGATTCCAATTGACTTGTATGTCACTCATTTTAATCACGATATTTCAAATTATTCTTTATGACATGTTGGGTTCTTTGTGGCAGCAGCTCTCCTAGCTGCATATCATAGTGCTTATCAATTCATTCATCGTCTGATTGCACTTTTGTCCCTTCTCTTCTTTTTTTTTAACAGAATGCACGCCATTTTACTTTACTTTTATTCTTCATGTAAGCATAGATGCAATGTTCTAAAATTTAATGTGCAGGAATAACGATTTTTTGAAAGTTTAGACAGAGAGTAATCATATGTTTACATTAATATTTCCTTATCAAGAAGTAAGGAATTAGTGGTTAGTGATAAAAAAAAAAAAATTACATTTGTAAAATAGTCTTTTTTGGTGAGGTTTAAATACCTTCCAATTTAAAAAATCAATAACTTTTAACATAGGGTTACAATAAATGAGAAAATAAACTTTAAATTCTAAAAATAAAAATGATTGTTTGTGTTTCTATATGATAAATGCTATAAAAATAAGATTATTAGTATTTTGATAACAGAAAAATTATGATAAAAAAAGCCTCATGACCCAACATAAGACCTGTCATAACCTATTTTTGAGTTATTTTTTAAATTTTATTCTTTTTTTCCTTCCCTATAAAAAAATAATAAATAAATAATAATAACAAAAAGATTGTTATTTTGGAAAAAGCAAAATGTGAAGAATTTCAAATATATAGAAAAATCAGGTTGAGATTTTGAATAAATTATAAGCCTAATTTACCCTCTTTGTACCAAAATTAGAGAAACAATGTGAATTCAATATCAAATTAAATGATTTTTGGATGAATTTGCATAAAATTTAAGTCTAGGAATATAATAAGATTTTTAATATACTAATTTGATTTAATCATAAGCCAAATTAAAAATTTAATTATGCTTAAAAATTAATTTAAGTTCAATTAAAGTATTTAATTAAGTGCATGAACTTAATTATACTTTATATAGGTCAAACTAATTTTATTAGGGACTTAATTAATAAAAAATTAAATTTGGAAGCCTAATATAGGTTTAATTTAAAAGATTGAAATTTTAAAGGACCAAACTTAATTTTTACAATGTCAATTGGTTCAAATTAGGGATAAAATTTCAAGAAAATCAATTTTTTTGGTCAATTAGAGATTAAGGGTTCAATTGAAGAAATTCATAGGAAAAGATCATTTTGAAAAAGACACCAAACTTCAGGAACCCAATTGATTAAAATCAGGGATGAAATTGAAGAGTTTTGAAAGTTTAATGGTCAATTAAGGGTCAATTTTCATAAATCCAAAACTAAGGATCAAATTGAAAAGGACGCTGAAATTCAAGCCTGATATTGAAGTTCAACAAGGGCAAAATTGCATAAAATTAAAAGTTTAGGGTCAGTAGGAGTGCAATTAGAAAAAATTAAAAGTTAAAGGATCAAATTAAACTTTGACCAAACCCTAAATTAAAACTCTAAAAAATCCAAAATTACACCATTTTGTACAATAAAGAAAAAAATTGATCAAACAATACGTCGTATGATACTAGTCATCTTCTTTCACTTTTAGTCTAAATAAACTACTCGAGTAACTACCTTTTTATAGCATTTAATATTTCATCTCTCAACCAAATCAAACAAACCATACACTAACATGATAATCTGACACTTGACCATACTCTAGTATGATTCTTTTGGCTGATTAACACTATAGCAGTCTTAACATCGTTCTAAAGTGACCAACTCAGGTAGCTTTTAACTATTTATTTTTTCAGGCTATGATATGAATTTTGAACCAATAGTTAGGATTCTTCATATTCAAATTAAAGGCCAAGATTAATCTTCAAAAAAAGAAAAGTGTCCCTTTTCCACCCATATAAATAAGGGTGGATTCCAAGTATTGGGTATTAAGAAATATGAGGTCAAAATTGAGAAAAAAAATCATCTCTTTTCCTCTCTTTTTTCCCTTCCTTCTTAGCCATCTCTTTTGCTTTTTTCTCCATCGTACCTCTGCTGTCATTAACACCACTAGCCATTTCCCTTCCTTCTTAGCCATCTCTTTTGTTTTTTTCTCCATCGTACCTCTGGTGTCATTAACACCACTAGCCACACACCAGACTTCCCTACAATATTAGGAACACCTCTAACCTTCTTCTTCTCCAACTAGGCAAGCTTTCTTATCATTTCTCTTCTTGAAATTGCTTTCATTGCCATTATCATGCAACTAAAAATATGCCACTAATATGAGCTAGGCTGGACTCATTCTAGCCTAGCCCCCTTTTAAAAAAAAGAAGAAGAGGGAAGGACGTATGATTAGCCCTAAAATTTAGCATTATTTTCATCTTGGTCATTGATCTTTGATTTGTGCACTTGGATTTTTAATTGACTATCATACTTTTAATTTTCTTTAATTTAGCCCATATTTTGGTCAATTTTAGCCCCTAACACCTTTTTTTAGTTTAGTCTTTAGTTTTGAATTTTTCAAATTAAGTCATTAATTGCTCCTTAAACTTTAATATTTATACAATTAAGTCTTTGATTTGACCATATTGACTTTTTTAAATTGCAATTTGACCTCAAACTTCAATTTCTTTCAATTTAAGTCTAAATTAACTTTAAAATTATTTTTTTTCAATTAAGTCATCAATAAAATTAATTAAATCTTCCAAAATTATTAGTCCATACCTATTCAAATTTGTATTTATTTATCCCAAATAAAAACATTTTCACTAATTAAACCTTTTTCCAATTAAAATTAAGTTGCTAAATTTTATACGTTTTGATCCTCTAAATTTTTCACTTGTTATTTTAATCTTTCACAAGCAGCTTGAATAATTTTATAGGCTTTCTTTATGTATATCCTTTTCTATTTTAGATTTTCTTTTCTATTTTTTTTCTTTTCTAAATTTTTTTAGGATTGAAAATGAATAACAACACTATCAGAATAGAAAAGGTAGGCTAAGGTTACCATTGGTGGGAGGTCTAAGGTTATCATTGGTGGGAGGTCTAACACTAGAGAAATTAGCCTAGAGGTGATGAAACAACTAAAAAGGGTTCCCACCATTGCTTTAAACATCTCAATGATATTTAATGAAAGCTACAATCTGGCATTTATAGCACAAATGACCTTTGATATAAGAAACTCTCTTATCTAACCTCTTTAGTTTAGTTTTATAGCCATTATTTCTAATAATATTTTTTACAGACTTTTATGATATACACTCATTCAAAAAAATACTAGATAGTTGAGAGGAATCAAGTGAGGGCGGCCAAACACTGGGCAAACCAAACTGCCCTTCAACATCCAAGAAAAGAGAAGATTGTTTGTGGTGGCTGAATTGAAGGAAATCAAGTGGCCAATGCCTCACCGAAAGATAACATGCACGGTGTAGCTCCATTGAAAAACAACTTCAGGCAACTTATAATTAAATGGACGCCTTCAAACATGCGATCCTTGAGGGAAGACCACCCAATAATTAATAAAAAATAATGGTTTTATTCTAAACAAAATAGTCGATAAAAAAATGAAAGTTTTGCTATATAAAATTATTCATTTCAATTACCTTAGAATATATATAAAAAGATCGACGTAAGACAAACATTTTTCCATTAGGATTTAGCCTTTCAAACTCATGCAAACATTTATTTAATCATCATATAATTAAATAAAGATTTGCTTTAAAATTACCTAAGACATCTCACATGCATAAACATCAAGTATCATGTGATACGTGTCATGCAAGGGGCGTTTAACTTTTTCTTTCTATATTTCTTTAAAGAAGGAATACATGTACAAAATAGATAGTCAAGAATGAAGTAAACTTCCTTGATCACAAAACCAACTATTTAGATTTGAATCCATGCACAGGTTGACTACAAAAGAAATATCCACTAGAAAGTGAAGCTTACGAAACACCCATGGGATCAAATTCAAAAGAACACCAACAAGATTTAAAAGAATTACATGCTATACCAATAGCATGTTTGATTTTACATTCAAAAAACATTTTTGAAATAAATTAATTTTTTCACGATTTTAAATCATTTTAATGTAATAATATCAAATATATATATATATATATATATATATATTTTAAAACATTTACAAACAAAAAACAGTTGTAAAAACAACTATTACTACAATCATAAACATTACCTACATAACTAGCTTGGAAAGGCTTCAATTAGAAGGCTTTAAAGTTAATCCTTTAAACCAAGCTTATTAATAATATCAAATAAGTCTCAACTTTTTTTTTTGGTAGGTTGAAAAACAAATTTAATCTGATTTGTAAACTAGTAGACACTAAAACAAGCAAAAAAAAAAAAAAGTCCATGCATCATTCATGCCTTAAAGTGGATTCCCAAACATCGGCGCAACCCATAGACAGAGCTTGCTTCACAGGGCGGAACTACTCCCTTTTTTATGAAAAAAAAATAGTTAAGAATTGGTTGCAATACAATAACCAAAAGGGAAGTTTAGGAAAAAGCTAAGCAACAAACGAGCTTCATCCGTTAAAAAAAGAATGGACAAGCAACACTCTCTAAGTAGAGTAGCTTTGACATTTTCTAGCAAGCAGTCAAGGAAGAAGCATTGGAAAATTTAGTTTAATAAGCAGAAGGGAGTTGAGCTTCAACATCTGCAAACTTCAATGCATGCATCTAGGGAGATGAAGATACAGGATGCAATATTCTCTGGAAAGCACACTATTGTTTGCCAGTGACAAGACATAAACACCATGTTGCTGAAGAAAGGAACACTTTGATCCCTGGAAATGACTAAAACAAGCATCAATTGCAGATTTTGGGCGGTCACTAAGCATAATTAGAGCCCATCTAATCTGGAGTCCAACAAGAAATAGAATATATCAGATGAGTGTGCAGACTCAAATCAATCCCTAGAAATGCAGAACATCACATCAAGTGTATGGCAACGGCAGTTCAAACACATTTTCTTACGCCTCAATAAAATCCACATGACATTCAATTAAACTGATTAAGAATATGCTTAGTAATTAAGACAAAAACAAGTACTTGTAAAACCAAACACAGCCTATCATTAAGCCTTCAAAAACAAAAACCTCATGATGAATCAGTCCACGCTCTGCATGATATCCTCAGCAGTGAACTTGGTCCCCTTATCCTTATCACCAACAGCACGCCCCTTAGCCTTGCGATCCAGCAGGGACTTCCTGTCCTTATCAAGTCTGAGCTTGGTAATCACCACCTTCGAAGGGTTAATTCCCACGTTAACAGTGGAGCCATTAACCTTTTCCCTTGTAATCCTCTCGACATGAATAACCCATTTTCTCCTATAAACCTGGACAACCTTCCCTTCCCTTCCCTTGTATGTCCCACGAACAACTTGGATCTCATCGTCTTTTCGGATAGGCATGGATCTCACGTTGTATTTCTGACGGAGGTCAGTGGAAAGTGGTGCGCTCATGAGCATACGACGCACGGAGGATGGCGCCGAGAAGTGGGCCTTACGGTTCTTTCGGCGGGAGGAGGAGACTCTTGGGTTGTACTTCATTGTGGTAGCTGTGGTGATGGAGACTGCGGCTAGGGTTTGTGTTTGATATGGGTCTCGAGGAGAAAATGGGAGTGGTTTTGTAGTTAAAGGAGAAGCTAGGGTTTTTGGATGGTCTGGGATTTTGTCAGGGAATAGAATGTATTTGGGCCTGATGAGATTTCAGCTGGGCTTCTTTTTCATCTCTCAATAACATCACTAACATGGTTGGTGTTTATTTTGTGTTTCAGATATCATGTATCGGAGGATACGTGCATGCTTTGGAATTTATTTTTTTTGACAGAAATGATTTAAAAGATAGAATTATGTTTTTTTATTAATTTATTTAATTTAAATTAACTCAGAATATTTTTTATTTTTTTTATAAGTTTATTTTAATCTCATGACTTAAAAGATAGAGTTATGTTTTTTTTACTAATTTATTTAATTTATATTAACTCAGATTATTTTTTATTTGTTTTTTATAAAATTATTTTGATTTATTGACTTGAGTCATGAGTTTGGTGTATTAACAGAAGTTCGAATAATTTTTTTGTTTTTTATTGATTTAAAAAAAAAATTAACTTTCAACATTGAGTTAATTGAGAATTAGATTTCATAATTTATTTTAATTTGATTTTTATGGGGTCACCCTTGTCTTATGACCCGAGTTATGGATTTAGTTAGTTAACCGGGTTTATTTAAGTCAATTCTTGTCTATTTTTTAATTGAATTTTTTTTAATTTCATCTTTAAACAATGTGTTAATTGAGAATTATACCTTATAATTTACTTAGATTTTCTTTCTGTAAGATTATAATGGTTTTATAACCATGGTTGTAGATTTAAAAGATTAACTCATATTAACCCGGGTGGATCCAATAAGTTATTATCTCAATATTTTTTAAAAGTTGTCATCTAGAAATTTTTTAGTCAAGTTATGTTTTTACGAGCCATTCAGATTGTCTTTATATCGGTCAAGTTAACTAGGTCATATTAGGTCAACATGCACATAATTTTTCTTTTCTACCAACAAAAAAAGTTAGCAATGCTTTAACATTTTTTTATATTAAAAAAATTAATCAGACCTGCAACGTAACGCAAAGAAATAATATAGTTACTTTCCAAAACTGAGCACTTATCATAATAAGGCATCTATTATGCTGACCAGGCAATTTTCAACAAGTCTTTTTGAATTGAGAAATCAAGAAGTAAATTTTCAGAATTCCAAGTAACATGATTTGTTTAGAAACTAAAGTTGAATGATCGAAGTCTTTGATGATGCAAACTCAACCTTAAAATGGGTATTCCCTGTCCAAATTATCTTGCACCGATGAATTTCTGAAAACATTCTATTGTTGTGTATCCTTGCATAACAAACTTAACAATGTTACTTGAGATTATGCGCTCTACAATTGACTATTTAAATTAAATTTGCTTCTAAATTGAATTGAAATCACATGTAATTTGATTCCAAATAGGTTGCTAGCCCTTGATTTTTTAACTGAAGACTAATATATCTCTTTAATTATTGCCTCTAAAGGATGATTTTTAGTGACAACTAGTTAGTTGCATGTATTATGACAATGAGCTTTTCGATGTTATTAAACACGATCAAGCTCAAAAAGTTATTATGATGACCTATTAGTTACATTGTTATTTTAGGTCAAGTTTCAAAGTAACCTATTAGTTACGTTGTTATTTTAGGTCAAGTTTCAAAGTAAACATTATAGGATTTGACCAATTGCAGTCTAATCAACTTGACAGTTGCATTCACAAATTAGTCGACCTGGTAAAAACCTGACTTGACTTTTTTTAAGAAAAAATATTTTAAAATCATGTTGATTTAATTTTCTTTCTTCATAAATATTGAAACGATGATAATTTTGATCAAACTGGTCAAAATATTTATACCTACCCAACCAATGTCCTAGGTCATGACCCAAGATGAGTTTAATAACCTTGCTCTCTAGAACCTGTTTTTTTATTTAATTAAATAATTATAAGAATAGACATTTACAAGGAAGACAACAAATAAAAATATATTTTTCTCTTCTAAATTAGTTTTTTCTAATTCATGTATTTTTTTACAGCAAAAATTTTAATGAAAAAACAAGAAAAAAAATATTATATTACCATTCAATATTAATAACTAAATTATCATAAGTGCTCTACATATTATCAGAATCTATAATATCATCATAAAAATTCATAATCTTCTTAAAAACAACATCAGAGGTTGATACATAATTATCCATAAAAGCGATCGATAATATGATCATAAAAAAAAGTATAATCTTTTTAAAAACAACATCATAATTTTTATATCTAGAGTATTTGCTTAATAAAAGGCAGAAAAATAAAAAGAAAAGTTTTTTCAAAAATTTTAGTCATTTGAAATAAGTAGAAAAAATGTATTTCTCCAATCTAAACTTTATTTTCTTAAAATGAATGTTTTTAACAAAAAAAGAAAAGAAAAGAAGAAGCATTTCTCAGTTGTTTTAACAAAAACATTTTTTTTAATTGCAAGCACCATTTTATAAACAAAAATTCATCATGATCTTAAAAGTAAATTAAAAAAATATTTAAATAATAGCTTAGTATTTTGTATGTGATTGAAGAAAAAATGAATAAATTAGATTAAACTATGTATAAAATCTATTACCAAAATTGGAAAACATAAATTTTATTTTAATTGAAATCTTGAGCTTTCCTTTTCATATTACATATATAATAATTAAAAAAAATTGTTAAAATTCCTATAAAAACATATAATATTTTTTGAGAATCATTGCAAAAATGAATAATAATTGAAATACAATAAGAAGTTTTTTTTTATAATGAATTTAAATTCAAATCCAAAAATATATAATAAAAAAAACAATAAAAAAGGGTTAGGTCAGGGCCAAGGCTATGCGCCTAACCTAACAAAAGAAGGGCAGAAATGCTTGGGCTTGTAAAACTAGGCCCACACATTTGACTTTGTTTTATTTTTTTTTGAAAAAAATAGTTGACAATAATAATAAGTCATCTACTTAGATTTTGATCACTGAAGAGGTGTTCAAAAAAATTAGATTTGAGTTTTTTGACTAAATAATATATTGTTAGCAATTTCACCTCGCAACACCCAATAAACATCCTTTGTACCTTAATAAACATATTTTCATCTCAAAACACCTTTAACAATCTAAGACCTCAAACCTTAACTAAAAGTTATATACTTTATAATGACAATTAACACCACATAAAAAAAGAATAGGCTTATGAATAAGGAGAGAAAATTGTATATAAACCCCAAGGAAAATCCATAAGAATTGTGAAGTAAATAATATGCTAAACACGTAAATTAACTATTTACACTAAGGAGATGAAAATAGATTTTGGGAATTTAAAATAAAATATTTATGTACTACATCAAAAATAAAAATATGAAAAATGACTAAAAAATAAAAAAATACATAAATGTAAGTAAAAATTAAATGAAAGTAATGTATCAAAAAAGAAATGTTATGAGATAAAGTTCAATGAATTTTGATATTACTCAAGTCAAATTTGGTACAAGCATTGGGATCTAAAAAATATTACTAGTAAAACATAAAAGGTATAAAACAAAGGATATAGTGGGAATTAACAAAATTTATCCCTATATGTGTGTGTGGTCGGCCTTTTAAAAGAGAAAGGAGAATGAAAACTCTTCATTTTTGGAAGCAATATTTTCTCTTTGTAAGGTTTATATAGAAATGGAAGTGATTTTTATGGTTTTTGATAAGGATAAGCATGAAACTTTATCCTTTTATATTTATCAAGGATGGAAATGATTTTTTTTTTTTTAATTTCAGAGAAGGTGGGGGTTACTCCTTTAGCATTTACATGATTCATTTTGGAGTCTAACCAAAGTTTAGTAATTTTTTCATTTTATTTTGGAACCCCTGTCCCTGTTTCAAGTTCTTTTAATGAGGAAGCACATGAGACCTTATCCCCTAAAAAGACTTTAGTCTAGCCCTCTAAAGTTCGAAAGACAGAAAAAAGGTAAAGTAGTGGCTAGTTCTTTTAAACCTGTAGCATAATCTGGAAAACCTAATCGTTTCATTTTCTCTAGTGTTGAGATGGCTTATATAAACAACGTTTCTAATAAAAATGTATCGTGTGAAAGAAAAGTTTCGGCAAATGGTCTTTGTAACCTTTCACTTGAATTCATAAAGGACATCTTTTAAGAAAAGATAATGAGGTAAACTGACTAAAAGAGCACCTACTTCGTATATGGAAGTTGTTAAGGAGTTTGGTGTAAATTATAAGTCTTTTAATCTTAATGACCACTCAATTACTTCTACTATTAGAGGTCAAAACCTTTAGTTATCTCTAGTTGTCCTTAGAAAGTTATATGAGCTATTTTAAATCAAAGATCTTGATTTTGCTTATAAAATAATAAGAGCCTCTTCCAATACTCAAAATGAGTGATCTATTTGTTAGCCCTATAAGACCAAAATGGTTTTCTAAAAAATATAGACTGCCTATACATACTATGCTAACTCTTGCCATCTGATGGCAAAAATTGTGCTAATAAATCCCTAACTTATTACAAGATATATTGAGTTTACAGATGAGAAAGCTCAGTTCATATATGTTATTGCTACTAAAGCACCTATCAACCTAGTCACTCACTCAATTAATGTCATATAAAAAGCTGGAACTGAAAGGAAATAAGTCTGCCTTTTAAAGGGTTGATAATTAGGTTAGCAATCATGGCCAAAGTACTCTTGCATGACAATGAGCCAATAACTAAGATCTATGGAAAAATCTTAGTTATAACTCTTTTTAAATTTGAAGTTGTAGTCAATAAAAAAAATCACATCCTGAAGAGTTTACCTTCTTTCAGCCCAAAATTTCTCAAACCAGCTCCTTACTCCCTTTTATAATAGAATAATTGGAAGTATTATCAAATAAGTTTGATAGTTTTACTGGTAAGTAGACACAAAAGATTGATGCAGTTGATAAGTTGTTAATAGATATGCAACAAGATATTGTACAGGTTAATGAAAGACTTGTTCAACTCTGGTTGGAAGTCGAACATGTGCATTAAAGTATTCTTGGTAAACATAAGGAATTAGATTAGTGATTTATATCATCATTTTGTACTTGAAGTATCAATAAC